TCCTAGGAGGTGCTGGGCAGGCCTGCCCTGGCATCCACACACACACTGGTTTTGTTTTTCTGCCACAGCCCCCTGGAGGTGGGGGAGTGTGGCTGTCTGGCACCTTCATTCCTGGCTGCAGGCCAGTGCCTGCAGAAAGGCCCAGGTGCAGGGCAGGGGCTGTGTTGGTACTCTAATGGCCATGCAGGGGGCAGGGGGAGAGCTGCGCCCCTCTTTAACCTCTGCATGAGTCCTCATGCTTCATGAGCCCCCAGAGGTATTTCAGGCTTCATCTGCTAAGTGAACGCAATCCCTTCTGGCCTCGTAGGGCTATGGTGGGGAGGCAGGGATGATCTGCCTCTTCTGTGTGCAGTCACCGGGATTTGAACTCTGGTCCTTGGGTTTGCTAGGCAGGTGCTCTGACCACTGAGCCACACCTCCAGCCCTGATCTTTTTCTTATTTATTGTTGTTGTTGTTGTTGTTTGCTGGTCCTTTGTGGGGCTTGAACTCAGGGGCTGAGCACTGTGTTTGAGACTCCTTGTGTTTAAGGCAAGTACTCTGCCACTTGAGCCACAGCACCACTTCTGGCTTTTTCTGATAGTTTATTGGAGATTGGAGACTCAAACTTTTCTGTCTGGGCTTCAAACCACGAGTCTCAGATCTCAGTCTCCTAAGCAGCGAGGAGTGCCAGCGGTGTCTGGCTTCCTATTTATTTTTTGAGATAGGGTCTTGTCTCCCAGGTACAGCTGCCTGTGTTAGTCCTCGCTAGTCCGCCTGGAACTCAGGTAACAGGTGTGTCACTGCACCCAGCTCTTCCTTGAGACCAAGCCCCAGACATTTTTTCTGCCCAGGCTGGCCTTGAACCTTGATGGCCCAGTGCTCTCACAGGCTGCAGGTCCTGGCCCCAGGACCTCACTCACAGCAGCGAAGGCCTGGATCGCCCCTCATCACTCTCCATCCCCCCCCTTGCTTTTGATGCCTTTCCCACCACTCACAAACCATCAATGGCTCCCGATTGAGGGTACTTGCTATGTTCTGGACATTGTTAAAAAAAAATCCTCTTTAACATACTCTCTGTCTCTGTCTGTCTCTGTCTTCTTTCCTTGTCTTTATCCACTGAATTCTGGGGTGAATGCTATGAGTGGCTCCCCATTTCACGGAGGGGGAAAATGGAGGCCCAGGGAGGTGAGGCAGAAGTCCCAGGGGCCTGGAGAGGCGCAGCTGGCCGGGACACGGTGTCTCCAGATGCGCCTGGGGCCTGCGGGCTTCCCGCTCCACCGGGCTCCTCCCAGCCCCTCAGCCTGGGGCTTGCATTTGGGGGAGGCTTGGCTCTGTGGCCAGAGCAGGGAGGTTCTGGGAAGGTGGGCTTGGCATGCGGATGGGGCCTGGTGTGGAAGGGGGTGAATGTTGTCCAGTGCCCTGTGTGGCCTGGGGAGCTCCAGGTCCAGTGAAACGTGAGGTGGGTGGTACAGGAGCCCTGGGCAGGCTCTGCCCAAACCCAGGATTTCCCCTAAGGCCAGCCACCGGCTGTCCAGGCAGGGGGTGGAGGGGAGGGGCGGAGGTGGTGTAAGGGTGAGGGGAGGGGTAGAGAGTGGAGGGGGAGAGCACAGGGGAGGGCAGAGGCAGGTGTCTGTGGAAGTCTGGCCCAAGGCCGGCTGTCCCAGCCACTGCAGGCCCGTGGCACTAGCTGACATGTAGGCCTGTGGCAGTGAAGGCCCATTTGGGAAAAATACATGTATTTTCCATGTCTATTTCCTCCCACCCATCGCTCAGTGTTGTCGCCCTATGCCAAGGGAGACCGAGGACATAATCACTGCTTAAGTACTTTCTGGAACATTCCCCCATGAGATGTTTGGTGTTCTACTGGGGCTGGACTCCCGACTCCCCTCCCCTCTTCTTTTCTCTCTTCTCTTCCTCCTTTTCTTCCTCTTTCTCCTCCTCCTTCCCTCTCCCTTCCTCTTCCTCTCCCTCTCTTCTCTATCTCTGTCTGTTGGTCTGTCTGTCTCTGGCTTATCTCCCTGGGTCTCCTCCTCTCCCTTCCTCTTCCTTTTCCTCTCTTCTCTCTGTCTGCTGGTCTGTCTGTCTGTCTCTCTCTCTTATCCCCCTGGGTCTCCTCCTCCTGAGTCCACACTTGTCCCCTTCCCCATTCTCTCCTCTGTCCCTCTTGATCTGCATCTCTGTCTCCCTGTCTCTGTCTGTCTGTCTCTGTCCACTCTCTTATCTCTGTCTCTCTGTCTCCATCCCTCGTCTCACTTCTATCTATTCTCTGGTCATTTTCAATGTGGTATCACCTCCGTCCATCCCCCAGGACCCAGCAGGCCCAGGCCTCTCCTCCCGAGTCCTCCCTTGAGTGTCAGGGTCATCCGGCCTGGCCACGTCCAGCGCAGCCTCCGTCTCCCACCTCTGACCCCAGGACGCCTGACCCACAATGCCCCTAGCAGCAGTTTGTGGCTGACCATTGCCTCCTCCTCTCTCCCTCCACCACTGCCTCTCCAGCCCTTTCCTCAGTTGCCTGCTTCTCCCTTGCTCATCCCTGTCACCGCTGTCTTTCCCTCGCCTCTCCCTCCCTCTACCCTGAGCACAGCAGGGCTCCAGGGAAGCGGCCAGTCCCTCACTCACCAGCCCATCCACCCCTGCCGGAAACATCCACACCCAAGTCCAAGGCTGGGCAGGGGAAGCCACGAGAGGCCCAGTGCTCCGGTCTGCAGTGGTGACTGGGGCGGTGGGCAGGTCACACCGGTCCCTGAGGCTGAGGAGGAGATGGTGGCCATAAGCCTTGCTTCCCACCCAGGCTGCCAGTGGGCAGACGGCCAGCAGCAGGTACCAGCCGGCCTCCTCCCTGAGCACAGGCAGCGGCACCAGCGGCAGTGGGGACAGTAGTCGGGCACATGGTAGCCAAGGGGCTTCTGCAAACCAGGAGATTAGTGGATGGGGCCCAGGAATCCAGGCTGGGAAGGACCACAGGCATTGATGATCTTCATGGCCCAACTCCTTAGTAATCTTCTGACCTGCGGTAGCATTTGGGTTGGGGCCTGAGGGACAGCGGAAGACCCCAGACCAACCTGGGGCCACAGGATTAAGGGGCAAAGGTGAGTGTGATGACCCCTCTTGTCTGTCAGGGAAAGCCTAGCTGCAAGGTCACCTCCTTCTGAAGCCCTCTCATCCTTCAGTGCTTCTGCACAGCTCTCTCTGCCCGGATCCCAAGCCTGGGCCCGCCAGGTTGACCTCAGGTCTGCCCTGCCTGGGGCAGCGCTCCCACAATGCATGAAGGAGTGAACGAATGAATGGGCAGATGGCAAACGGACAGGATCATTCTCTTCACAGGCTGGGCTCCTTGTCTGTGTCCCTCAGTCCCTGCCTGAGAATGCTCACATGCAAAGTCCAAAGCCAGCCGCCGCCCCTCCGTGACCCTCTCCAGGTGTGATCCCTGTCACTCCCCACCCACTGCCACCCGCGGCTGAGACATTCAGTCACTTCAGGGGTCAGAGGAATCCAACGACCCTGCTGTTCATAGGGCAACGCAATTCCAATTTCATGCCTACATGGGCTTCCCTCAATTAAAGCAAGAGAGAGAAGAAATAAAGCTGTGATTAAAAAAAAAAATTCTTCCAGGAAACACATAAAAGCATCGCAAGGCAGAGGGTTATCCAGAGTAACTGGCTAGCGGCTCGGGAGGGGCCAGGGGAGCACAGGGGGGTCGGGGGACTCAGTGGGGCTTTGGGGAAGAGGACGTAGGGTTGAAGAGGCTTTGGGCCTGTGTGGTTGTTGCCTGCTGCTCTGGCCTGGATGTTTCTAGAGCGATGGTTATCCAAAAACCTTTAGCAATAGAAAGCCAGCGTTGCTATATCAACTGGCAGACGGTGGGCAGGCAGTACATACTGAATGAATGAATCATTGGTTTCTTATAGCTTTAAAAGAACACTGGTAGGTCATGTCTGTAATTCTAACTATTCAGGTTGAGATCAGGAAGACCAGTGTGAAGCTATTCCAAGCAGAAAAATCCTAGAGGATCGAGGTTTGAAACCAGCCTGGGTAGCAAAGTGCTTGAGATTCCGTCTCCAATTAACCAACAAAAAGATGGACTGGGGGCGTGGTTCACATGGTGGAGTACTGGCTGAGCAAGCAAGTTGAGTGAGCACGAGTAGAGAGGAAATAGGATGATGAACCCAGAGCACTGTGCCTGTCAGAGCAGGCAGGGAGACTACATTTCCCAGCCTTCTTCGCAGCTAGGTTGGGCCACATGACTACTTTTGTCATCTCTCCCACCCTGACTTCCTGCTTCCTTAGAGGTCCAAAAGCCCTGAGGACAGTGGAACATGAACTAGACTGTTTCAGAGAACCATGAACTTAAATACCTTCCCTCGCCCCCCCCCCCCCCCCAAGTTAACTAGTGGAGATATTTCTTCCATAAGAAGATCAAATATCAGGTAGCCACAGCCCCTTTTAGTTTGGGCTCCAGTTCCAACTCTGTGGAACTGGCCCCCGGGGGAGGCTGGAGCTTCCAGCCTGGAGTCCGGCCCAGGGGACCCGTCTCTTGGGGTTTAGCTGCCCACTGAGCCCAAACTAGGTCCACTGGACCACTTCAACCTGTATGAAATCATTTGTGTTTGCTGTCACTGGCTGCTGAGATTTGGGGTAACGTGTTAAGGAACATTATTGTGAAAGGTAACCACTTACCCACGAGCAATCAAGGGGCTCCTGAGAGGCTCTGGCCCCCAGGATTTGACAGAGACCCTTTACCAGTGAGACTCAGGTCTTTCTCCCCCGTCTTCCCTGTCCCATGCTCACCCCGCCACCGGAGGCCACAGCTACTGAGAGAAGCAAGAATTGAGAGCCAGTCACCAAGGTGGGGAAAATTGGTCTGTTTGTTTTAATTAAACCGACTGCAGAAGCCAAGACACAGACAGACAGAGACTAAGAACAGGATTGGGAGGGGTTTTTAGAAAAGAAATGAGAACCGATGGCGGAGGTGTCAGGGCCGCTGGAGGCTGGAGGCTGGGGGTGGCGGGAGGGCGCGTCCTCACGTCAGCCCCAGGAGCACTGTCAGGACCAGCACCAGCGTGAGCCAGGCGCCAGCAGGGCCAGTTGAGGAACCTGTACCGGACGGGCACAGAGCAGCGTCAGAGCCAAAGACGGGCCCAAGGGCATTACAGTGAACACACCGGACGGAAGGCCCGGGGGGCAGCTCAGGCTCAAGGGTCCCCAGCAAAGATACCGTACTTCCGCATCAGCGATTGCTACCCCGGCTGTGTGCACGCCCCGTTGAGTGTCTGTGTGTCCTGGTGGCTGTTAAGATTATCCATGGGGAAAAAGCCAGGCAGAAGTGTCTCATGGGAGGCTGAGATCTAAGGACCACCGTTCCAAGCCAGCTGAGGCAGGAAAGTCTGTGAGACTCTTATCTCCAATGACCCACCAAAAAGCCGGAAGTGGAGCTGTGGCTCAAATAGCACAGCACTAAACACAAAAGCTCAGGGAGAGTGCCTAGACCTTGAGTTCAAGCCCCAGGACTCTCTCTCTCTCCCATACCCACACACCCACACCACACCCAATATTATCCACAATGTTGGGGGGGGACTGGGAGAAGTACGTGGGCCCGTGTGGCCGGGGCGCTGGTTGGGGTGGCGGGGACAGTGGGAGGGATGTAGAAAGGCCCAGCCAGCGCACCTGTCCCTGTTCCCAGCTGTCCCTGCTCCTAAGGAGCAACCCAGGGCTCCAGACGCAGCACCAGGGCAGTGCTGCAGATGACAGCCCCTTGAAGCCCCGGTGGCTGAACTCTGGGCTGAGAACTCACAATGCCATGATGGTAAGAGGGACACATGCAGCCTGGCCGATCGCCTAGCCAGGGAGGGTGTGTATGTGCTGGGTCCCCCTTTCCTGCTTCACATAACCTCATTCCCCAACTCTGCCTGGCTGGAGGGCAGTGGGCGGCCAGGGGCCTGTGGGTGGGCGGCAGCTGGCTGGCAGTCTTACCATTGGAGTCCTCGGTTCCTCTCGGAATATTTGGATTTTCTGTTGGGGAGGAACAGAGAGAACCAGGGAGTCGGTGGCACTTGAAACCCCGTCAAAGTGGCCCTTCATCCTGCACCTCCTGTACAGTAGTCCCAAGTACAACCACCCAGTCGGCCCTGGGCTGAGGCTTTCACCCATTTTCTATGTGGATAGCCCAGGAACGTGAGGCTGTTGGTCACCTGCTAAGTGGCAGAGCTGGGATTCGAACCCGAGTCTCTGATGCCAATGCCACTACAGTTTTTAACCACTGGGCTACAGTGCCTCTCTGTGGGCCTCCTGTCAGGGCCCCCTTAAGGGATGTGGGCCCCTGCTGGCCCCTGCCCTGGGGCAGCTCTGAACCAGGCCTATCTTTGGTGGCCCCGTGGATGCCCAGCAAGCGCCACTTAGCGAGCGTGCCTTACCGAACACGATGAGCCGCGTGTGCGTGTCAGTGGAGCCCAGGGGGTTCTGGGCCGTGCAGCGGTACATGGAGCCGTTGAGCTCGGCGGGGACCCGCTCCAGCACCAGCTCCTTCCCGTCAAACTCGGCGCTGCCATCCAAGAGGCGGCTTCCCACCCGCGTCCACGTGAACATGGGCTCTGGGAACACCTCGTTCTGCCGGATGGAGGGGGGCAGTGGGGTCACAAGGGTGGTGGGGAAGGGCTGAGGCCGGCTTGGACACACAGTCCCCTCTCACTGGCTGCCGGTGACGACCAGGGCCCCCGGAAGACAGACTGAGCCATTTCATAGACTGAGAGGCACTAGAGGTGGCTGGGGGTGGAAGGAAGGGCATGGAGTCTGGGGGTGTCTGCACCCTTCCCACATCTGCAGAAAGACTGACCTGAAATCCTCGGACCAGAATCCTCACGGTGTCCCCAACTCGGGCTCGGCTGGGTGTCATCACGATTTTAGGTCCTTTAGGAGCAACTGTAGCAAGAGGAAGGTGAGACCGGAGAAGTGGCTAGTAGGGAAAGAAGGACAGAGCATGCAGAAGAGAAAGTTCTTCGCGAAGAGCTAGTGTCCTGGAGAAGGGATGCTCCTCAGGAGCTCCAGTACTTTATTAACAGACTGATCCACCCACCCACCCATCCATCCATCCATCCATCCATCCATCCATCCATCCATCTATCCACCTATCCATCCATCCACCTATCCATCCATTCACATATACTGCCAAGTCCTTGCAATGAGTTGGAACCCGCTGGGACCCAGTGATTCAATGGTGGTACACAGGGCACAGCTCTGCCCCCATGGGGTTCCCACATTGGTGGGGAGAAAGACTAGACACAGGAAGAATGGAACTAGAAGGGGCACATGCATGCCCAGGGCAGGGGGTGTGAGCTGAGTGGCACTGGGCACTCACAGGAAGGCACCCATTCCAGTAGCCAAAAGCCCTTTTCTCTAAACCCTTGTCACCCTAGCTCACCCCGTCACCCAGGTGAGCTAACAGAGGCCCAGAGAGACACCAGGTGACTTGCAGTGGCCCCATAGAGAGAGAAAGCTGGGGCCTCAATCTGGGTCCATCTGGTCCCCTCTCCCAGGCTGAGTGTCCTTGCAGACTATCTGGAACCACTGGGTGGCTGGGCTCTGTGGGGAGCCCCGCCCAGTGCCTGCCTCGCCCCTCATGCTCTGCGTCCCAGTGCTGGGGAAGCTTGACGCCCAAGGGTGTCCGGAGACCCTTGGGGTCCCCGAGTCCCCTCTTGTTTCAGATAGGAAACAGGCCTGTGGAGAGCGCAGAGGCTTGCTCCAGCCCAGCTACAGAGTCAATTACAGACGATCCCTCACTTTGCAACCTAGAGAAGTTCATTTGTTCACCCATCCATTCATTGCCTCATCCAACAGTAATTATTAAACTGGCCACATGATGGGTTTTGGATCTGGGCTGGGGTCATGGGGTGAAAAGGCTAAGTAGCAGCCAATTCAGAGCTCAACACATTAGGAAGGCACACAGTCAATCAACACATCAACCACAGCCAATGGGCAGCCAGTAATGGGACTGTGTGCACAGAGCTAGTGGGTGGGGTCCTCAGACTGACTGAGTTGCAAAGCTCCTAAATAATGTTCTAGAAGGAGGAAACATCCAGGGCAGGGGGCTGAGGGGGAGGGGCAGCGAGGCAATGGGCAGGGCAGCGAGGAGGCGGGGCAGGGAGACGATGGGAGGGGCGCTGAGAGGGTGGGGCAGCGAGGTGATAGGCAGGGTGCGGAGGGGGCGGGGCAGTGAGGTGATAGGCGGGGCGCTGAGGAGGCGGGGCAGGGAGGCGATGGGCGGGGCGCTGAGAGGGTGGGGCAGCGAGGAGGCGGGGCAGAGAGGTGATGGGCAGGGCCCCGAGGGAGCGGGCAGGGAGGTGATGGGCAGCCCGCTGAGGGGGCGGGGCAGGGAGGTGATAGGCGGGGTGCTGAGGGGGCGGGGCAGGGCACGGATGGGCAGGGCTCTGAGGGGGCGGGGCAGGCAGGAGGTGGTACGCGGGGCTCTGAGTGGGCGGGGCAGGAGGTGGTAGGCGAGGCTCTGAGGGGGCGGGGCAGGGAGGTGATAGGCGGGGCTCTGAGGGGGCGGGGCAGGAGGTGGTAGGCGGGGCCCCCTCAGGGAGCTGATGGGCCGGGTTCTGAACGCATTGAGCTTCCCCGCTGGAGGAACGTGGGTCTGTTTGGAGTGTCGTTCTCTGGGTGCCTTTGCAGATTCCCCCCCCCCAAAAGGGTGCCTGTAGAATAGTTTGGTCACCTGTCTTGGGCCGACCTGGGCTGGGCAGGATCACCCCTTCCCCCCCCCCCCCCCCCCCCCCCGCTGTCCCCCGAGCCTCCCGTCCACCCATCAGCTCCGAGAGACGTGGGTGGACTCCTGGCGCTGCCAATTACTTTGTCTGAGAGTGAGACCAAAGGGCTCTTCATTAGCCACCGCTGTCAGGACGTCTGAAGTGTCACAGAGGCGGGGGCCGGGGGCCGGGCGCTCCTGCTGCGCTGTCTCCAGTGTCGGGTAGCTGGGCAGCTCTCTCTATTCTGGGAGATGGCTGATGTTTCGGGGTGGGGTGGTGGAGTGCAGGGAGAGGGCTGGAGTGGAAACCCAGGACTTTGCACAGGCTTGGGGAGTGCTCATCCCCGGGCCCCATGTCCCCAGCCCCTTGACGGCTGACTGTCCAGTGCATAAGTGTTGGGCTCTTCATGCAACACCACAGGCGCCCTCCGGCCTCCCGCAGGGACAGGCAAGCCCAGAGAGGTCAAGGAGCCTCCTGCTTTCTTTGGTCTCTCTGGTGCTGTGTAGGTGATGGGCGGGCAGGCGCCCTGGAAGAGGACAGCCTGGCCCTGGGTTGAAGGGCTGTTGGGAAGGCGCCACCAGCTTAACCAGCAGAGGACACTGAAGGGCATGGGTGCCAGGAGGAAGCTGGGCCAGAGGTCCCTTCTTTCCTTAGGTCACTTTCTCAACTTCTTTACAAAGCCCTGTCTAATTCCTCCAGGGACTGCACTCTTGAGGGTAGAGTGACTGACACTTGTGCAGTCCCTGGTGTGCACTAGACTCTCACTCTGGTGCTCCTGAAGTCGGGGAAGCCATGCTGCAGGCCTCACAGCTGACCACTCCCCCGGGGCTCACTGTGCCAACGTGGGAATGGCCATCTTGGAAACACAGCACTTCGAGGGGAGACTCAGAGCCCAGGACCAGAGAAGAGGCCTAGCAGGTGGCTCCTCCTCCACAGGCAGCCCACACCCCCTCCCTGCTGCCCTGAGCTGCCCATTTCTGGTGGGCCCTGGGTAGAGCTGAAGAACACAGAGGGAGGGCACTGGAGGGGTCTTCCGGCCCTCACTGCTTCAGGATCCACCCTGGCAGCTGCTGACAAATGAACAGGTTTGGAGCAGATGGTCCTTGGCTCCTCCCTTCCCTTTCTTTCTCCCTCCCTCTCCTCTCCCTCCCTCTCGTCAGCTTCTGGAAGCCAGGCAGCTGGCATCTTTTGCTCAATCCCAACATCACCCCTGGGAAGCCCATTCTGCAGCTCATGGCAGGCAAAGCCAGGCCCCTGCCTGCTTCTAGAACACAAGACTGACTCTCCACGCCCCACTCCAGCATCCCCTGAGCAAGAGTGGCATTGTGAAATCCCAAGGAAAAGATCCTCTAGGGAGCCCCAGGAATTCTGGGTGTACATTATGACATCCATCCACCCATCATCCATTTATCTACATATCAACTCATCCATCAACATAGTCACTCATCTGTCCATCCATCCAAACAATTTTTCATTCTATTCATCCATTGATGCATTCATTACTTTATCATATCTACCTATCCACCCATCCACCCACCTATCCACCTATCCATCATTCTATTATCTTTCTCCCTCTCCATCTACACAGTATCATTCTATTTGTTTATATATCCATTCTCTACACTACTATATTCATTCATCCATCATTCTATCGTCCTTCTACCCAGCATTAGTCTGATCCATCCATCTGCCCACCCATTAGTTATATCTATCCATCTGTCCATCACTCTATCATCCATCCATCCATTCATCGACCCATACATCCAGTAGTTGTCCTATTCATTCATCTACCCATCCATACAGTATTCACCCTATCTATCTCCCACCCATTACTATCATATTCATGCACCCATTTATCCATCCTTCCATCACTCATCCATTCATTCACTTATCCATTCAGTATTCATTCTATTCATCCACCTATCTGTTACTGTATCATAGCCATCCTCCATCATCCATGCATCCATCCCATCTATCTGCCCATGCATCACTCTTTCAAGTCTATCCCTCATTCTACCATCCACCCATCTCTCCATCTCTCCATCCATCCAAATGTTCCTTCTATCCATCATCTATCATTCTATCATGTCATGCACCCACCTACCCATTAACCCACTAATCTCTTTATCCACCCACACATTCGTTAGCTCTGTCCCCCAATTTGTATTAGTCATTCTGCAGGACAATGCTGGGAACATGACACAGGAGAACAGTAGCTTGTGGCTCCTGAATAATTACTCTGCCTGATGCTGTACTCAGCACTCTGTGTGCACCACTCCCTAAACCTTCACAACAACCCAGGAAAATCTTTTTTGTTTGCCAGTCGTGGGGCTTGAACTCTGGGCCTGGGCGCTGTCCCTCAGCTCTTCAGCTCAAGGCTAGCACTCTACCACTTGAGCCACAGTGCCACTTCTGGCTCTTGTCTGCTTATGTGGTGCTGAGGAATCAAACCCAGGGCCTTATGCATGCAAGGCAAGCGCTCTACCATTGAGCCACCTTCCCAGCCCCAGGAAAATCTTATTCAGTAGATTCTCCTCATGCATATGGTAGGGAGTTGGTTGGTTTTGAAGCTTGCACTATGTGAACAGACCAGGTACAAAGCTCGTGCCCATTGCTACTTAAAATTCCAGAGGGAGATCTGGCCAATTAGGGTTCCAGGCTGTGCTTGTAGGGGTGGGAAGAAGAGGCTGAGCTGGGCAGAGTGCACAAGGGAAGGCCTTCTGGGTAGAAGATTCCTGAAAATCCCAGCCAGAAAAAGCGTTAAGGGTGTCTGGGATGAGAATGTTCTAGGCAAAACAGAGAGCCAGTGGCAAGTCACAGCGGGGGATGTGAGTTTAGCATGGTCAGGCCAGGATAGGGGATCTGAGGCTGGAGACAATGGAGCAACTGGGAGGGGTAGAGACCCTGGTATCTTGGAAGCCATAGCCAGGAGCTGGGATCTGATTTTCAATGAAGGCTGTCTGGTGAACTGAGTCTCCCACCCTTCATGAATTTTTCAAATCATAATAAAGGTTAGCTATAGACAAGTGCACTGTTTGTAAACACACAGTCTGATGAACTTTAATAATGGTGAACATGTGTCACTCTTATTCCAACCAGACTGTAGCACATTGCCACCACTTCTGGGGGTCCTCACGTTTTCAATCCACTTCCATTTCCATCATCGCTGGTGGCTCATACTTGTCATCCTAGCGAGATTCAGATCTGAGGATCATGGTTCGAAGCCAGCCTGGGCAGGAAAGTCTGTAAGATTCTTATCTCCAATTTAACCAGCAAAAAGCCAGAAGTGGAGCTCTGGCTCAAGTGGTAGAACACCAGCCTTGAGCAAAAAAGCTCAGAGACAGCATGTAGGCCCTGAGTTCAAATCCCAGGACTGGCACAAAATACAATACAATACAATAAAATGTCCACCTTCTATAGGTAAGTCTTGTTCCATTTCTCTCAGGAGAGAGCTGTTATCTTGGTCTGGAATTTCACACAATGGCTTTTCCCAGCAAAGAATGTCGATGTGCTGCCTGGGTTTTTGGTTTAAACTCCTGGTGTCTGACTTGATCCCAGCACATGTTAGAAGCTCATTCTTGTGAAATGATGGACAGTGTTTCATGATATAAATATAGCACACATTTGTCTATTTGCTTTCCAAACTATGGATATTTGAATTATTTACATATTATTGTTGTTGTTGTCCTGAGTAAAATTAATGGACATTGTGTGTGTATGCGTGTGTGTGTGTGTGTGTGTGTGTGTGTGTGTGTGTATCTTTGGGCTTGAACTCAGGATCTGGGTGTAGTTCCTGGGCTTTTTCACTCAAGTGGTGATCTACCACTTAAGCCAGCACCTCTACTTCTGGCTTTTTGGTGGTTACTTGGAGATATAAATCTCATACATTTGTCTATCTGGAGTGACCTCTATCCTCTATCCTCTGATCTCAGCCTCCTGAGTAGCAAGGATTCCAGGTGTGAGCCACTGGCTCTTGGCAGCATGTCCAAATATTTTTGGGTGTATTTTTTCATTCATTTATTTTTTAGTTTGAGACAGACTCTCCCTACATAGGCCAGGTTGGTTTTGAACTCCTGAGCATCCTTCTTCAGCATCCTAGGTGCTGGGGTTATAGGCATGTGCCACTATACCTGAGTGGAATTGCTGGGTTGTTGATGAGAGGGATTTCTGCCTTTGTAGGAGGCTGCCAGTTTTTCTAGGTAGCAGGACTACAGGTAATGCAAGGACTGTTCTGATTGTTCCGTATCCTTGTCAACATTTGATAATGCAGTCTTTAAAATCTTATCCAGCCTATTGGCTAAGAAATGCTGTCTTGAGGCAGTTTTAATCTTTATTTCCCTGGTGATCCTAGCAGGTGAACATTTTCATTTTAATTCTAGTGATTTTAAAAGTGGGTTATCTGATATGTTCATTCATTATGTATCCTGGGTACAAATGCCTTACTGGTGAGTATTTTCTTTTCTTTTCTGTGTGTGTGTGTATGTGTGCGTGTGTGTGTTAGTTGTCAGAACTCAGGGCTCAGGTGCTGTCCCTGAGCTCTTCAGCTCAAGGCTAGCACTCTACCACTTGAGCCACAGTGCCACTTCCAGTTTTTGAGTGGCTAATTGGAAATAAGAGTCTCATGGGGACTCTCTGCTCAGGCTGGCTTTGAACTGTGATCCTCAGATCTCAGCTTCTGGAGTAGTTAGGATTTTAGGGGTGAGCCACCGGCGCCTGGTGTTGGCGAGTATTTTCTCTGCTCGTCTTTGCCTTTGTCTCTTTGTGTGTCTCTCTCTCAGTAGTTTGCTCCTTCATTTTCTTAAGGATGTCTTCCTAGGAGGCGGGAGCCTTGAATTTTGACTCCATCTCCTTGATCCACTCTCAGATTTTCGTTTAGTGTCACAGGAGAGCATGTTAGGGAACTGGCCACAAGGATGTTTTGCTGCATTTTCTTCTAGAAGCTTTCACGCTCTGCCCAGTTTCTGTTCCACTTTAACTTGTGTGCACCACGTGCGTGTGTGGGTGGGGGTGGGAGGCACCTCTCCCTGCCTCTGCCATTAGTTAAAAAGGATCCTCTCTGCTCACTGGGTAGCCTCAGGATCTCCGTGGAAAACAACGAATCCGATCTGTACCTGTGGGTCTGTTTCCAGGCTGGGTTCTGAAGCATCAATCTGCCCATGCCAGAGGTGTGGGGCTGAGGTGCAGGAGAGTCTTGATCTGACTCAGATGCGAAGCAGATCAGTCGGGTGGAGAGCGGACAGGGTGGAAAGGGAAGTGGAGAGGGGAATGTGGGGAGGGGAGACTGGATGCTTGGGCGGGTGGCTGCAAGGGGACCCTGAGACAAGGCAGGCCTGGGGTATTGGGTTGGGGTATGGCTTGGGTGGAGGACACAAGAGTGAGAAGTGTGGGTGGTGCCGAGTTCACTTCTCTGGGCCTCAGTTTCCTTGGATTGTAACACCGCCCGCCCCAGTGACTAATCACAGGCAGCCAAGTAGTTCATATAAGAAAAGCAGCAGTGGACCCTGTGCCGGTGGCTCATGCCTGTCATCCTAGTACTCTCAGGAGGCTGAGATCTGGAGGATTAAGGTCCAAAGCCAGCCAGGGAAGAAAAGTCCCATCTCCAACAACCAGGAAAGAAAAGCTGGACTGGAGGCATGTCTTAACTGGTAGAGCACTAGCCACGAGCCACCCAGACAAATGAGGGAGCAAGGCCTTGAGTTCAAGCCCTGGAACTGGCAAAAAGGAACAAAAGACAATCCGGTATGCAGTAGTTACATAATAAATGTTAGCGCTCATTACTTGTTGTGTGGGCAAGTGGCCTGTGGGAACTAAGGAGTCATTTGAAAAGGTCTTCCTGGTGGGGAGTGGAAAGGCGCTGGGAGCAGCAAACTTGAAATCCCAGCCCTGCTACATACAAGCTAGTAACTCAGGGCCCGGACCCCCACAGGCTGAGCCTCGGTTTTGCTCATCTGTAAAATGAAGCTGTGTGCTAAGTCCAGCCTTGTGTGAGTCCCTGGCACACAGCAGCTGCTGCAGGCGCGGGCGGCCCCCACGCCCCCTGGTGGTGGTGGTGGTGGTTGGCTTAAAACACAAGCCGACAGCTCTCCCTTGCCCATAGTCCTATTTGCTCAGGAGGCTGAAATCTGAGGATTGTGGTTCAAAGCCAGCCTGGGTAGGGAAATTCATGAGACTCTTTTCCAGTAATGACTAACAAGTCAGAAGTGGAGGTGTGGTTCAAGGGGTAGAGCACCAACCTTGAGTGAAAAAGCCATCTATATGAGAGAGAAAGGCCTTGAGTTCAAGCCCTGGTACACACACACACACACACACACACACACACACACACACACACACACACACACACTGACAGTGGTTCCTCTGTTTTTGACCATGGAAGCATGGGCGAGAGGCTGTGGTTTGCTCCAGGTAGCCGCCACTGGCCACTGCAGGAGATCAGGCATCTCTGGGTCAGAAGACTGGTCCAGAGGTTGAAGTTCAAAGAGCCCACAAGGTGAAAGGTGAAAGGTGAAAGGTGACGCTTGTGGGTCACCGTGTCCCTCCCTGCCCTCTGTCCATCTCATGCATGTCCAGCCAAACACGAGGCGCTGGATGGAGGCTGAGCCGGTCCTGACCAGCCGGTCCTGTTTGCCCTCATCTCCCGTGCTCTCAGAGACCATGGGGCTTTGGACCCAATGGGCAGGCTGGAGCGGGTACACCCTCCCTCCTGTGAGTTCCGGACCCCAGCCCAGTGGAGCCCGGTGAGGACGCTGTGCATTCCGGGCCTCACCTGCCCAGCCTCTGACCACGCGTCCCTATGAACCTCCCACCTACTCAACAGGGACCTGGAAGCTTTTTCTTTTTCTTTTCTTTGCCAGTCCTGAAGCTTGAACTCAGAGCCTGGACTCTGTGCCTCTCTGAGCTCAAGGCTAGCACTCTACCACTTTGAGCCACAGCGCCACTTCTAATTTTCTGGTAGTTTATTGGAGATAAGAGTCTCACAGACTTTCCTTGCTCTGGCTGGCTTTGAGCCTCAATCCTCAGATCTCCGCCTCCTGAGTAGCTAGGATTACAATTGTGAGCCCCTGGTGCCTGGCTCCTGGAAACCTTTTATGTTTCTGTCCTTGACCCAACAAACCTCCCGTGAGCCCTGGCATTCTGGACCCTGTGGGTCTTGCAGAATCCCTGAGTTCTAGAACCTTCCATTCCTTCTAGCACAGCCAGCTGGCAGGCCTCCAGCCCACCTCCCTCCAGTTGCCCCATTCCATATCCCTGGAGACTCTATGGCCGGTGCCCCCGGCCCCCATCCAGCTCCACAGGGGCAGCCTTGCCCCTCCCCGGCCAGGCTTACCCAGCGTCACCTCGGCCTGCATGGGCATGGACAGTGCTGGGTGCTTGACCTCGCAGCTGAACAGGGCATCGTTGTCGATCTGCGGGTTCAGGGTCCAGGTGAGCAGCGCGCGCACCTCTACCGTGCCGTCGCTGCCCGGCGTGCGCCGGTGGCGCAGGAAGTAGACGGGCTGGGCGCTGTGCACCCAGCGGGGGAACTCGCGGCTCACCACCGTCTCTGGAATGTTCTCGGTGGTGGGCTGCAGGAGCACGCCGGGATCCGGGGTCAGGCTGCGCGAGGGGCGCTCCGTGGAGGGGTGGTGTCCCGCCCGGTACTCGGCGTCCACCAGGGACAGCGACTTCTGCATCTTGGTGTCGTCCAGGTCACGGTGCAGGAGGCCGCGGAAGGGCCTGCTGTCCGGGAGGGGCCCCGAGCTGGCCGCGGGGGGCTCGGAGAGGGGTACCACGTCGATGGGCTCCCCGTCCCGCTTGAAATACACCTGCAGGCGGGAGGAGATTGCCTGTGCGTGACCTTGAACTCCCCTCGGGCTGGGTGATGAGCCAGCCCGACCAGCACCTGCCCCGCCTGGTCATGACGTAGATTGACCCCCAGCGCTGCTCCTTGACACCCCCAAAAGACATGTACTCATTACCTGACCGTACAACACCTTCGTAAGAACATGAAAACATGAAAAGGAATCCCAAGAACTGGGGGCAACCCCCAGCAGAGGGACCGGGCACCCACCCTCAGCCCGACCCAGGAGACTTAATGCCTCCGTGTCCATCCTGGTGAAGAGAGGAACATGGTCCAGTGCTCACACTTGTCATCCTAGCCACTCAGGAGGCTGAGATCTGAGGATCAAGCTTCAAAGCCCAGCCCCGGGCAGAAAAGTCCTTGAGTCTCTTATTTCCAGTTAAGCAGTAAGAAGCTGGAACTGGAGCTGTGGCTCAAGGGATAGAGAACTCACCTGCAGCACAAAAAGCCAAGCAACAATGCAAGGTCCTGAGTTCAAATCCCCAGTATTGATGGCGCACACGGGAAGAGGAAAAAGAATCTCCCTGGGAATGTTGAGTCCTTAGATGATGGCAAGGGAGTAAAAAGGACTTTGGAGAAGAGCAGCCAGTGGTCCCCAAGGGCCTGGTCCCCAGGGGCTGGTCCACACCTGCCTGGGGACCATGTGGGTGAGGGAAATGGATAGATATGGGGGACTAAGTGAGACATGGGAGAGGAAGAAGATGGCAGACTCTGTGTGTGTGTGTTGTAAAAATGACAGAAAACAGGTGCGGGAAATTCAAGTTTTGTGAGGCAGCATTTAATTTAATTTGCTGTCTTTTCATTTTGGTACACGTACCCAGAAGCCTGAAGGCATCCGATGTATTGAGACAAAATCAAATAAATAAATCTATAGGAGACGGGGAGAGAAGAAGGCAGGAAGCAGCAGTGGGGGGGGAGGGGGAAGGGGGAGGGAAAGATGGGGGGGCAGGGGGTCGTGGAGCTCTGAGAATCTGCCCGAGTTTCTAACTCTGGAGGAGCTTCTCAAACGCACACGATAGCTTGCTTTGGGGTTTCTTTTTCTTTTCTGTACTTTCCCCCCCTCTTCCTTTCCATTTTTTTTTTATTTTAAAGTGCTTTAAAGCAGATGTGTCATTTATATCAAAGCATTTCTTTAAAGTTCTGATGTCCCAGACAAATGTAGATGCCTGGTATGTAGGGACATCATAATCTTTCATATATCCGCAGAGAGAGACAGACAGACAGAGGCAGGAGACAGAGAGACAGAGGCAGAGCGACAGGAGAAGGGGGGGATTGTTCCCAGGTCTTCAATGGTAGCAGCAGGTGAGGTGGGGTCCCCAGGGCCTCGATGGGCACCCCACCCCAGTCTTTGAACCTCCTATCCAGCAAGCCCTGGCTTCAGGAAGACCAGGCCTCTATGGCTCCAAAAGGGAAAACCTGAGCCACGTTCCCCTTCAGGCCCTGGGGGTGGCTCTGAGGCCACTGTCCTCCTGGGAAGGGACCCAGGGCCTCTGCACGCCACTCCCCCGCCCCGCCCCCACCCCCTCCTCCCTCTCTCCCCTGGCCCCGCTGGGCCTCACTGAAGCCACAAATGACACCCTGGGCAGCTAGGACCCTGCCCGCCCCCTCCCTGGAGCAGAGCTAATCTGTGTCCCGGATGCCACCACCGGCCTGCTGTGACGCCCGCCTTCCTGACCCCACGCCCCCTGGCGCTGGCCCTCACCTGCTCTGCAGCAGGGATGACTGAAGCCCGCAGGGTCAGGGAACAAAGGATTCCCAGAGGTCAAGGCGTAGTCCGCTGGGGGGGGTTCTCAATGTGGGTTCCTCGGGGTGACTTGTCCTCCTTGCTTAAATGTTGGACCCACGGGGCTCCCTGGGCGACCGTTTCCCATGGGACCTGCTCTTTCTAGAAACACTAATAAAAAACCTTGACGGTGTCCTGTCCCCTGGACTACCTGGAGAGGTGGCAGTGGAGGGTGAGCAGCGTGCTTTCGTGTGCGTGTGTGTGTATGTGTGTGTCTGTGTGTCTCTGTGTGTATATGTGTATATCTGTGTGTGTCTGTGTGTCTGTTTGTGTCTGTGTGTGAATGTGTATGTGTGTCTGTGTATGTGTCTGTGTGTCTGTGTCTGTGTGAATGTGTGTGTGTGTCTGTGTGTGTGTCTGTGTGTCTGTCTGTCTCTGTTTGTGTGTGTGTGTGAATGTATGTATGTGTGTGTGTATGTGTGTATGTGTGTATATATGTGTGTGTCTGTGTGTGTGCATGGTGTGTGTGTTTATATATGTGTGTCTGTGTGTGTATGTGTGTATGGGTGTGTGCGTGTGTGTCTGTGTGTGTCTGTGTCTGTGTGTCTGTGTGTCTATGTGTCTATGGTGTGTGTGTTTATGTATGTGTGTCTCTGTGTGTGTCTGTGTGTGTATATGTGTATGTGTGTGTCTGTGTCTGTGTCTCTGTGTGTATATGTGTGTGTGTGTGTGTGTGTGTGTGTGTGTGAGCACACAGCAGCAGAGGAGGGGTACTTACCATGGGCGCTGGCTTCCCTCCCGACACGATGCAGACCAGTGTGAAGTTCTGGGCTTGGTAGCGGCTGAACGGGGCAGGTGAGTCAGCGGCCACCACTTCGATGGAGGTGGGGGGAGCTGCGGAGAGAAGCGTGGAGACGGGGCTCGGCCACGGCTCTCGGCCACGGCTCTCGGCCACGGTGCTGGTGAGGACTCATGGACAGGGCTGGGGCGCTGTGGTGCTGGACCACCACAAGTATAAGGCCCCGCAGGAAATACAGACCAGGGTCCTGCCTGCCCTCCTGGGACTTGTAGTCTAGGGAGAAGGCAGCTATGGGAATCAAGGAGTCACATGGACACTGAAAGGCATCATGGTATGGAGAGAAGACCGGAAGCCATGATGGAGCTGTGACTGAGGAAATAACAGTGGACCAGAGACTGCAATGCAGATAGAAGGAAAAGCAACCTGTGCAAAGGCCCTGTGGTAGGCTGCTGTGTGTGTGTGTGTGTGTGTGTGTGTGTAAGGATATTGGTCAGGATAAGGAGTAAGTGGTGGCCAGGTGGCTGGGGAAATGGGCAGGGCACACACCAAGCCTATGGGGGTGATGGTTGGAGCCTGTGCCAACCACTGGAGCCGCTTGTGACATTTTCAGAAATGTTATGAGCCATCTGTGGCACCGATGCCCACTTGAAACATGTCACAGTGGGGGCTTCACACACACACACACACACACACACACACACACACACACACACACACACACACACCAGTAACTGCTACAAGTCAGGGGCATCCTGCACCCCAACCTCCAGAGCGCAAGCCCGCTGACCACCTCACCAGCAGCGAGAGCATTTTCCTTCTCTCTCTGGAAAGCGGTAGGGAGCCAGGGAAAGTTTTAAGTGAGAGCAGAGACGCGCCAGGAAAACACAGCGGGAACCTCACTTTCATCAGGAAAAGACAGCGGCGGCTTCGGCTTGGACTGGGGAGGGGGCGGAGGGCGGGAGCAGCAGGTGGCTCTGAGAGACACACCCCCACAGCCCCTCACACACATACCATTTTCTTTCTTTTCTTCTTTTATCAGTCATGGGTCTTGAACTCGGGGCCTGGGCGCTGTTCCTGAGCTCTTTTGCTTCAGGCTAGCACTCTAACTTTGAGCCACAGCACTTCTGGTTTTCTGAGTGGTCTCACGGACTTTCCTGCCCAGTCTGGCTTTGAACCGCGATCCTCAGATCTCAGCCTCCTCCTCACCGAGCACCTTTTCTTTCTTGAAGTTGGTTTATTGTGTCTTGTGTTCCCGCCCCTCCCCAGTGTACCTCCTTTCTCTCCCTACCCACTGTCAAAACCTGGGCGCTGTGGCACCGTGCATATCGGAAAAGGCTGGATCCAGGTTCCAGATAAGCCATTAGCCTTCCCCCCAGCTCCATGGTCTCGAGCTCACCATCCAAACTGCCAGCCTCCGCTCTCTGCTGTGCTAGGCAGAGAAGGCTGCGGGGTGATGGGCAGGGCTGGACCCCAGGTAGGAACACGCTGTGTTAGGATTTCCTGTCCTTCCTCCAGCCTTCCCTCGACGCAGCCTCTTAGAAGTCAGGGTGGGGAAAGTTGGCCCTTCTTGCCAGCCTGGTTTTGGGCTGTATGCAGCTGTGTAGGAGAGCAAGGCTTCTTCTTGCTTCAGGAGCTTTTCACCCCAGCTACGTTTAATTAAACCGACAGACATTTCCTGACACCTACTAGGTGCCAGGCACAGCGCCAGGAGCTAGCTAGCTGCGGTGGCCAGCAATGAAACAGATATGGCGTTGAAAGGCCACGGGCTGTGTGGGGCGTGGCAGCCACCCCGGCGGCCGGGTTTGGAAGCCGAGGAAAGGGAAGCCAGGTATGAGGCGGTCTTTTTGGTTCGTTCAGCCGCTGCCACGTGTTGTCAGCAAGGGACACGGGATGAACAGAGGTAACGGGAGACACAGTGATGTGTACGCGGGTGGAACAGATGGTAAGCGGGTGGGATTCCAAGAAGGGGGAAAAAAGATAATTGAACACTTCCATGACTCAGAAAGTTACAGACTCTGCAGTTTTGTTTTTGTCGGTCGTGGGGCTTGAACTCTGGGCCTGGGTGCTGTCTCTCAGCTCATGGTGAGTGCTGTACCACTTGAGCCACAGCGCCACTTCTGGTTTTCTGGTGGTCCATTGGAGATAAGAGTCTTGCAGACTTTCCTGCCTGGGCTGGCTTTGTACTGCGACCCTTGGATCTCAGCCTCCTGAGATCCTAGGATTACAGGCAAGAGCCACCAGTGCCCAGCGACTGCAGTTTTAACTTTGTCGGTGTGAGCCTTGGTGCTGGTTCTAGGCTAGGGCTTGAACACTGGGCCTGGATGCTGTCTCTGAGCTTGTTTTTGCTCAAGACTGGCACTCTACCACTTTGACTCACATGTGGCTCTACTTCTGGCAATTTGGTGATTAACTAGAGATCAGAGTCTCAGACTTTTTCTGCCTGGGCTGGCTTCGAACAGCCTTCTGAGTAGCTAGGATTACAGGCATGAGACTCTTGCACCTGGCTCCATTCAGAGTTTTTCATATTGATTACATGGTGATAGTATTTCAGATATGTTGGGTTTAATATAACCTTAGCATAAACAGTACCTTTTGATTTTACTTTTGTTGTTCATGTGCTTATTGAAGAAGAAAACTTGGACGTTTATAGATGAGCCCTGCATTGTGCTTCTATTGGTCGGGTGCCGGCCAAAATTCCCATTGTATAGGGGAGGCAAACTGAGGTCAGAGAGTAGCTCGGGACTGCTGGCACTCTCATTTCCCAATCCTGGCCAGGATCCTAGGCCTAGTGTGGTGCCCTCCTTCCAGCAAACACACACTCACTTATACACACACACAGCATGAATGCACACACATGCACAAGTCATGAGTATGCATGCACATTGCAGGGGTATGCACAAGCACACAGGGACGCACACACTCACTCACTCACACACACACAGGACTAGGGCTGTGTTCCTGCCCCCATTGTACTCGGAGCAGGCATCAGCAGCGTGTACTTTCAATCCAGCTCACAACGCCGCCGCAGTGGCGGGCCGGGAGCACGCGGGCAGCCCACAGCAGGGCCGCAGCCGGGGCCTGAGCTCGCTCTCTGCTCCTCAGCAAACCCCCAGGCGCTGTGTCCTGGGAAAGAGGCGCTTCCCTGCCACTCAATGGACAGCTCTGAGGCAGCCGGGAGGCTGGGGACACCGGCAGGGCCTGGCCACCATGGATGCTCCTCCACCACCGTCTCCTCTCCCTCTTCTCCTTTCCCTCCCTTGACAGTCCTCACCCCTGCCACACAGCCCCCTGCCAGCCATCGTCCCCTCCTCCTCCGTCTTCCCACTGCACCCACCGGAGCCTCCCTCTGCACCTCACCCCTCCTCCCCCTCATTCCACCTCACCTCCTTCCCTGTCACCTCCATCGCCTCCCCCTTTCTGACCTCCACCTCTGCCTCCGTTCCCGATCCTCTCTCCATTTCTGCCTTCACCTCACTCCCAACTCCAGCCCTGTTCTGCTCTTGCTGCCACCCTCTCCCGTGACAGTCTTGGGCCATAGTAAAAACAAGCATCCTTTAGGTGCCCCAGCCCGCGGGCTGGTCCCCGAGCTCGGGCACGGCCAAGGCCAAGGACAAAGACCAGTGTAATAGGAGCAGGGCTGGGCAAAGCTCCGGGCCGTGCTGAGCTAGATTCACAGCAGCTGAAGATGATAAGGAGCTTCAGCAAAAAGAGCCTGCGCCCCCTTTTCTTTAAGTCCACCTTGAATCACCCTCCATCCTATAGACATTCCCCCCAACTCCCCCCCACCCCCTGCAAGCCAGCTGGCTTTCCAGTATCTCACTTCTGCCTTGAGAAAACTGCTACTAGAAGTTTCCTTGACTGATTCTGTCCAGCATCAGCGCTAACCTCCATTCCCCCCGCCTCCCCCCCCCCCCCCGTTCTGCAGGCACTGGGAATGAACGTTATTTCCAACTCCACAGTTAACAGGGACCTGGCGCCGTAATGGTCTGGTGATCGGTTTTATGAAATTAACCCTGAAATATCGCCCGTCTTTATCTGGCCAGCAGAACTTTGTTTTCCATCACTATATCAGTCACTTTGGAGATAATGTGACAGCTCTTCTTCGCTCTGTAAATCAGACACAGGGACGCATCTGAGAGAAGAGGACCCCCCCCCCCCCCCCGGGCTGCCTGCGTCCGCTCAGTGCTGCCTCCCGGGACTCTGCTCCTCCTCCCAACCCAACAAGCCCATCGCAGGCCTCCAGGGCAGGTGTAGACCCAGGCCCTGCTTCCAACACCCCATAGCATTTGTGGGTGGGGGGCATGATATTCCCAGCTCTAAAGTGAAGTGGAGGACCCATCTAAACATACACAAAGGCATCCTTCAGGAGGCCCCTCCTGGGGCAGTGGGCATGCTGGGGCCGGGGCTCCGTCTCCAGGGAGGACCCCTACCCCTGGCTCCCAGGGTTCCACTCTGCCAGGGTGCTGGGGCCTCGGGCCTGGCCCCCACCGCGCATCCTTTATCGTGGGAGGTCAGCAGCGGTGTGTGGGGGAGGGGCGGGGAGAGGGACGGACAGTTCAAAATTATATTATTTGCAAAAAAAAGGAAAAGCATCCATGCTTCCTCTCGGCACTGCCGCCCTTATTGACTGCAGCGCTTTTCAATCAGCGCCCAGTCATTACCCTATTTCAAAACGCACGGAACTACCCTCTTAATCTAAGTGCGAGAATACAGAACGCGCTCCCGGCTCTCCGGTCCCCCTCTCTCTCTCTTCCTCTCTCCCTCTCTTCCTCCCTCCCTTCTCCCTTTGGTCTCAAGTCTCCATTTCTTTCCCATCTTCTTCTTTACTCTCTCTCTCCTGTCCCCTCCCTCCCCCACACACACACACCGAGCACTTGTCCAGGAAGCCTTCACCCGGTGCAGCCACACAGCTGCCCCTCGCCTGGCTGGAGGCAAGCGAGCGCAGGGCCAAGGTGGTCTCATCCTTTGCTGGCTGCATGGGCCGCCTCCTCCGGGCAGCCTTCCAGTACTGCCTTAGGGCCCGACCTCCCGCTGTTCCTCCTCCACCCTACTTCGTGCTCACTGGGGACTGGAGCATGGCCCTTCCTTCCTTCCT